TACCCAAGAGTTGCACATGTGTCTAATTTATCAACATGTCGGTTCTCTGAACCATTCATCTACAAAGATCTACATTATTTAGTTTATATGTGGCATGATTATTTTCCTGTCCAACATTTAGAACTTTGCATTTGTTTATATTAAACTGCATCTGCCACTTCTCCAACCACTGCATCAGTCTGTTCAAATCCTCCTGGAGTGCTCTAATGTCCTCGTCAGAATGAATTTGATGGCCTATTTTGGTGTCATTGGCAAACTTGCTTATGTCGCTCTTTATGCCCTCATCAATGTCGTTGATGTAGATTGTGAACAACAGGGGGCCCAACACCGACCCCTGTGGAACACCGCTTGTAACGCTTCCCCACTCTGATTTCTCCCTATTTATGCAAACTCTCTGCTGCCTATTTGTCAACCATGCCTTTATCCAGGAAAAAATTTCTGCTCCTATTCCATGTGCCTTAATTTTCCTCAATAGTTTCTGATGTGGACCCTGTCAAAAGCCTTACTGAAGTCCATATACACAATATCATATTCATTACCATGATCTACCTCCTCAAATACCTTAGTGAAAAAAGTTAATAAATTCGTAAGGCAGGCACGCCCCTTTTTAAAACCATGCTAAGATTCGTTGATTAATTTATGCTTTTCAAGGTGGCTACGAACTGCCTTGGCAATTATTGATTCCATAAATTTTCCCACTATGGAGGTTAGGCTTATTGGTCTATAGTTCAAAGCTAAGGACCTGTCACCTGCTTTGAAAATAGGTATCACATTTGCCATTTTCCACTTATCTGGCACCATGCCAGTCTGTAGTGATATGTTGAAAAGATTAGCCAAAGGTTTGCTAAGCTCCTCTTTACAGTTCATCAGGGCCTAGGGATTTGTTAAGGTTTTAATTTATCTGTTTGCCTAAGGACCATGTCACTTGTGACCCAAATCGTGCATAGTTTATTATCATCCTGTTCTACATAATTTATTATTTCTGGAATATCGTTAGTATCTTCCTGTGTAAAAACTGAGAGGAAGTATGTGTTAAAATTTCTACACATTTCCTAATTACTGTCCGTGAGCTGACCCGAGTAACTTTTGAGTGGGCCTATCTTGTCCCTGATCTTACTTCTGTATACCTGAAAGAATCCTTTTGGGTTAGTCTTCGATTCTCTTGCAACTTTAACCTGATAATCTCTTTCTGCTTTTTTTATTCCCTTTTTTATTTCTCTCTTTAACTGAATATATAGATTTCTTAATTACCCCTCCCCTCCTTTGATTTGCCTAACGTATATGCCTCTCTTTTGACCAGTGAGATGTTTTAATCTATTGTTCATCCATTTAGATCATTTTTGTTTGATCTGATTTCCCTATTTGGAAGATAAGTTGTCTGAGCAGCTGGAACTATGCCCTGGAAAACGTCATATTGGCAATCATCATCACCTACCTGACCCATAGTCAGGTCATTCCAGTTCATCCGACCCAAGTAATTTTTCAGTCCTATGAAATCAGCCAAGCGGAAGTCAGGGACAGAGACTTGATTGCCATTATTAGGGGAATTCCATGATATATTAAAACTGAGTGATTTGTGATCACTTTCCCCAAGCTCATCATTAATCTCAAGATTATTCGCATTTTCCTGCTGGCAAGAACCAAGTCAAGCATGTTATTTCCTCTAGTTGGTTCTGTCACAAACTGTTTTAAAAAACAATCCTGAATCGTATCAAGAAAGTCACTTGACTCTAAATTTCCTGTCAAATTGCTCCAGTCAATCTGTCTATAGTATGTAGATGCCTTACGAATTTCATCCCATAGAAGTTTAACGTTCTCCCTATCAAGATTTGGGGCCCTGTAAATCACACACACAATTAGTTTTTCACGGCCCTCGAGAAGCTGTAACCAAACAGATTCAGTGGCTGACACTTCTAATTTTATATCTTGTCCAACACAACAATTTAAATTGTCTCTGACATACATCGCTACTCCACCACCCTTCCTGTTGACCCTGTCAATGTGGAATAATTTATAGCCTTGTATGTGACATTCAGAAGGCATCTCTCCATCTTTCAGATTGAGCCAGGTCTCTGTTATAGCAATGATATATATGTTACCTCCACTTGCAATTAATCTTAGCTCATCTATCTTATTTCTTATACTCCTGCTATTAGTATAGTAGACCTTAACCAGTAAATGGTCCAAACGTATATATGTGTTCTCTCCCGTAGTGCCCCAACTTTTTTGAGAAAAAAAAAAAATTTTTAATAGGAAAAAAGAGCATATTAGGTACCCAGGCATCCCCAATTATTTTAATATGGTGCACAGCGAGTGCACACACCCATTCTCTCATGTCTAGGTGACTCAGGCTTATCGTGGCAATGTTGAATGTATGACAAAAAAAAGGTATGTATACGTTTGGGGCACTAGCGGTAAAAACGTATATATACGTTTGGACCGTTTGCGGGTTAAGGGAGCTAGTCCCTTGCTGCCCTCTGCTGTCTCCCTTTGTTTGCTGACCTGATCTATTGTCTTTATTTATAACTTAATGATGAATGTCTTTTATACATTTACTGTTTTCAACCCTAGTGTTGCAACCTGTTTTTCACACACACCCATACCTCTATCTTCTATCAGTTTAAAATCCTAGGCATTTCAACAGTGGTCCTCTAGATTGAGTTTGCAGGTGCTACCACCCCTGCCCCAGAGAGATGTACCCCATCCCTTGCATACATATCATGTTTGCCATGAAAGTTGTCCCAGTTGTCAATGAATGGGATTGCAAGTTCCTTGCAGTATCTGTCTAGCCAGCAATTTACACCAATTGCCCTAGACAACCATTCATTGCCCACTTCCCTTCTAGGCAAGATGCTACATGTGATTGGGACCCCTCCCTTAGACTTAATTAAATCTATAGCTGAGCTGACCTGTACTTATCTAGCAGCTCTTCTCTCCTACCCTTCTCAGTATCATTTCCACCAGCACTGAGACAGATAATAGGCCTGTTCCCATTACCTGACATGATATTATCCAACCTGTTGACTATGTCACTAACACCAGCTCCAGGGAAGCACACTATCTCTTACCTTCTTATTCCTATTACAGAAAGCACAGTCCATATATCTTACCTGTGATTCACCAACCACAAGGATGCGCTTACTTCTATTTGCAGGGGAAGTAGTACCTTTACCTTCACTGGCCACTGAAGTACACTCATCCTGAAGAACAGAGAAGCAATTTCCTACCTTCAAATCTTCTCTCTTAACTTTCCTTATTTTGATCTCTTCCCATTACTGGGAACCACTTGCCACTTGTAGCAGTTGCTGGACTGCACCTCACTGCTGGTAGCCATTGCTACCTCCCCACCAACAGCTTCCTCGCAGTGAGAGACAGACTGCACCTCGCTGCTGGTAGCCTCATTTCCCTCCACCATTCTAGCCACCTCACCATTCCGGCCACCAAACCCATTGAGGTGAACTTTCAGCCTCCTAATTTCCTCCTGGAGAAGCAAGACTTCTCCCTTCAACTCTCCAACCTCAATTTTTAAAACACTGCAAAAGCAAGCCATGCTTTGTAACTGTCCACACTACTCCCCAAAGCAGCTCAGGGCCTGTGACCTCACGTGACGACTGACCACTGACCACTGTGCTGTACTGTACTTTCCACCTCCAGGACTCCCATTCAGCTTACCAATTTCCCTGAATCCCTTTATAAATTATACCTTTCTCACACTCCACCAGCATGTTATATCATAAAAATCACTTGCCTCTACTAATTTCTAACATGCTCACACAAGCCTATTGGCCTACGTGAGCATGTTCAATAGGAGTGACAAGTTCTTATCCTTAGATAAGTCTCTAATGTAAGCCATTGCTGGGTCAGCCACTGCTTCACTGCCCTGAAAAATCCAAAAGCCAAGCTGTTTTAATTAAAATAGCATCACAGATTTTGGTAGATGCTTCTGATGTCCATGTTTACAAGACAGCGAGAGGGCATTACCAGTGCTAAAAAGCCTGATCCTCCCATCCTTTTTTATTCATGGCACACAATGATGGTCCAAAGAAGGATATAATAAAGTCATGTCTCAGCCCAGCAGTGCAGTTATTAGCAGTTGTTATCTCAGACAGGAACATTGCAGCTGTGCCTGGCATTGATTAAACATCACTTTGATGTGTTGTGGTCGTATACTAATATGACTTTTCCCCTTCCTTATAAAATCTGAAAGGAATGACAGTCACTTTATAAGCCTATGAATCTTGCTTACACTGGCTGCATTGAGTGAGTGAAGACTTATTCATTCTCAGCACTGTTCTGTAGTCTGCCTTGGCAGTTAGTTTCTAGGACACTTGCATACTACTCTGATAACTGATGAAGCTAGCAACTTGCTGTATCCTGCAGTGTTAAATACGCTTACCTTCACTTTCTGAAGTGTTTCTAAATACTTCTCATTCCTATTGTATTTCCTGATCTGGGACCAGATTATAGGGGCAGTGATCCCTGGAACAATTAACACGTGCTGAAAATTCTTAACAAGTAAATGGAACAATTCAATGGAGTTACCCCTCTGTGGTCCAGGTACTAATACAGGGCTGGAAATTTCATCTTTTTATTTATTCCATTAGTTTATATACATTATTTTATTGTAAATTCCATCTTAACTATCAAATGTCTGATCATGCAAAAAGTAGCGGTTTTGTACAGATAAAAGAATCTGAAATGAGAATGATGGATCCTAGTGGTGCAGCAGACCACAAGTTCAAATCCCATCATTCCATCTTATTATTAATAGATATGTAACAGATACAAGATGTAGGGCCTAAGAGGTGGAATTTGTATCCTTACAAATACAATTAGGTGGATTTGCAAACCCAAATGCACACAGAAATCTGTTTCTATGTACAATATTCCTTTATTTATAGTGTAATTTTTAATCTTTGACTTAACCTTGGCATGTAATACTGATATAAATTTTATTATAGTCCTCTGGTCTCAATATATATGTTTTTTTTTTCTTTCAGGTCAAGTGGGCAATGTTATTACAAATCGTAATGCCAACCGGCTAGAGTTTGAAAGACTTCTGGTGAGTTTTCTCATATTTTGCAAATTTGCTTTTAGCAACACGTATTTAATATCTTTGTTTTAAGATATATAAAATACAGTACTATAATATTAATTGTTATTGACAGATTAAGTAATTATTTGGTTGGGATTGTATAAATTTTAAATATTTGTAAACACCCAGAAGAACGCATCTCTGGCAGAGAGAGAAAAAAAAACGAAGTTTATTTCTTTGCAAGGTTACATTGAGATTATGAAATATATCACATTAATATTGAAATATCACATAGAAGAGGTGGTCAAGACTCCATTTGTGGACCAGCTGTAAGTTTCCACCCCTTGCAAAATAAACACTTAAACAATCCTCCTTCCACCAATATTCTCCTTCTCATTTTCATATCTGTCGGCTTCATCTTTACCTTGGCATACAAGCTAAAAACTGCCTGTGTGTACCTGTAAGTTCACTTCTACAATGTAGCTAATTATTAGCCTAGTCCAGGAGGATGAGGTTGAAGCTCCTAAATTGGAACATGGTTACACTAAGCTCTTTCTGAATTGCTGAAATGGCCCTTGGCTACACTATGCTTTCTTTTCCACTAGCAAAGTTCCCAAAACTAGGACTTGGATCCTTAAGCTCTCTTTCTCAACTCCTGTAGTGCCCAGAGCTAGAACTTGGCTACACTAAGCTCTTTTCTAACTTATAAGGTGTACAATGATAGGACCTGGATACACTAAACATAACTAAACTCTCTCACAGCTGCGAATTCTGTTAGTCATAAGTTTAAGTGCCTACTTCTACCTCATTTTTTATCTACACCATCATTCAATCCACCTCAGCTCTTATTATTATTATTATAATCATAACTAAGTGACCTCACCTCTTAATTGTTATACTAAGATGATGGCTTAGGAATTATTTTGGGTTAAAACATGGTTTAGTGACTCACTACTGTTGTTGGGAGGCTTAGGCTTCCCCACTCCATATTTCACTTTGCTTTTATTATAATCATATGCAACAAGCAAGGATATAAAATACCTTATACAGCATTTGATTTATTGGCATGTATGTCAGTTATTTTTGCTTGCAGTAATATTAAACAGAGTATATCTTGAGTATATCTTGCCCCCGAGTTGCAAGCCTGACCTAGCCAAACTTAACTTCAACCACATACAATATGGTAAGTTTTAGTTTGTGTGTAGCTATTTTAACTGAAGCAGTTTATATCAATTTTTTTTTTTTACTAAGCTTAAAGTACAAGATGAACAGTTACCTCGTAGTCTTCAGAATTAACTGCACATACTAACAAGATCCTGTTTCATAAGTTTAACCTATTTTAAATTACTACAATTATTGTATTGAAATTTCCTCAATCTTATAATTCAATTTTTGTATGGGTAATTTCTCTATCACTTTTCATGTTTAAAATTTTTTTCACATGTTTTGCACTGGTCAGGATGGAGCCAAGCTGTACATGAGACACCATAAAGTCCCACGAGCTATGCAGAGACGGGTCCAGCGCTGGTACGACTATTCTTGGTCGAGGTCAGCTCCATACTGGTATTACTAATGGGAGCTCCCTACCTATATTAGTGCGAGCTCCCTACTATAATTCTGGGAGCTCGCCTCGCTTGCATTCCTAGTATTGGGAATGATCTTCACCAATAATGCTAGTCTATTAATATCTTTACTTGTATTACAAGTTAGTCTTGTAATTTAATTGTATTCATAGTCCTTTAATTTCTCTAATTGTATAACTCTCTCTCCAGCTCTCTACATTTGTTATTCTCGTGAGCTTTCTGACTGCATGACTGTTTTTGAAGGATTCCTGCCTGTATCTGAACTTCTTGATTTATTATCTCACTACCTGCATTACTAGTCTTCTCACTTCTTGCATCACTGGTCTTGTTATCTCGCCTACATGACTAGTTTATTATCTTACTACCTGCATTACTAGTCTTGTTATCTCACTACCTGCATCACTAGTCTTGTTATCTCACTACTTGCATCACTGGTCTTGTTATCTCACCTACATGACTAGCTTATTAACTTACTACCTGCATCACTAGTCTTGTTTTCTCACTACCTGCATCACTAATCTTATGATTTTACTATTGCCTGATCTTGCCAGCTTGTGGGTTGCATGGTTGTTTAGCCAGTCTTATGAGCATTATGTGCTGTACCACTCCTGGGAGCTCCCTTCTATCTTTACTGATATGGTTATTTTTATAGTAATTGTAGTATTATACATGTACTTATATAATATTCATGGGGAAATGTTATACAGTGCCTTGGAAATGGGACATAATCAGGTTTGATCCAAGGAAGGGGAGGGTAGCCCATATTCCTTGGATCAAGAATTTTACCAACCTGAAGATACAGTAGAGCCCCGCTTATACGGCAGGTTAGGTTCCAGGCTACCGCCGTAAAGCGGAAATTGCCGTAAAGTGGAACACCCTTTTTTTCCCCTTATACTAAATTCATACAAATACTAGATAACAAGTTTACACTAACATATATTAAGTTAGCAATAGAACTAAGCATCAAAAAACAATAAAAAAGTACAATACACACACAGTGCACTCATTACTTACCTTAAAGTATTTATAGTCTTAATCTAGGGTGAGATGAGTAGTATTTATCGTAAGAAATCAAGTGTGCTATGTATGTAGTCAGCCAGGCTACCATACCAGGCCACCCCACCTACACATAATATTCTTTTACATTTAAGTATCCCAGAGCGATAAAATGCATATACAGTTTACTTAAAATATTTGTAGTCTTAATCTAGGGTGAGATGAGTAGTATTTATTGTAAGAAATCAAGTGTGGTATGTATGGTAGTCAGCCAGGCTACCATACCAGGCCATTCAACCCACACATATATTCTATGATATTTAAGCATCCCAGAGCGATAAAATGCATATACAATTCACTCATTACTTACCTTAAAATATTTGTAGTCTTAATGTAGGGTCAGGAGTGAGTAAACGATATAAAATGAATAAATGACAGAGAGTCAGTACATGAGGGAGGACAGGCGCAGAGTTATGTAAACAAACCAGGCGAATGTAAGTTTTGTAAACAAAGTGTACACGTCTGGTTTGTGTACAAGTTACATTGTGTACAAGTTGTCTTTACGTTGATACGGTAGAATAAATAAAGAACACTTCCATTCTCATGTAACACCATTTTTAGAAGAAATGACGCTCTGAGTGAAGGCAATGGAAATAAGTCACTCCGTCTTACTTTTTTGGGTTATCCTAGGTTCTCTACACATGTGCTGTTATGTATGATAATCTATGTAACTGTATTTGTGTATACCTGAATAAACTTACTTACATACATACGAAAGGAATAATTTTCTACAGTTACCCCCAGTAACACATTTTCTCTTATGTTAGACTAGAGAAAATGTTATTCTTGCCATCACTTGTACAAGTTATCTGGCTACCACATCTCATATTTGTTTATTTATTCTATTGTGGGATGTATTTATCATCTTTATATGTTATGCATCGTGTTTATTATATAATTTTGAAAAAATATCATAGATGGATTAACAAAAATATGTATATTAACGTAGTATACAACATTTAATGAGACTCGATGATTATTATCATCATTACTAATATGACGTCTTGAGACATAAAGCACTGTTACTGATTTTAATATGTACCTGCATGCCAGCACAGTATGTAAGTTTATTTAGGTACAGGTATACATAAGTATAATTATCAGAGTATATATAAAATATGAAATAACTTTTAAAAACACTTGAAATTTTGTTGTTTCCAGACATAATGGAGATACGTAGTTTTTGGATCTCACAGAGAATGTAAACAAACCGGGTGGGGCGCGGTGACCATATTAGAAAGTCAGGTGGGGGAGCCGTATAGCGAGTTTTGGTCATAATTTGAAATGAACGTATTACCTGAACGCCGTTAAGCAGGGCCCTACTGTATATGCTTTGAAGGATTCACTGTTTTTTTTTTTTTTTTTTACAAAGTGTCTAAGTGTCTACTGTATTAGTCTTTGGAGTACCTAGATTGTGTAATAAACTCTGCTTTAATTCTTTGTGAGTGTATCTTGTGAATTCAGTACTGTTGTTACTAGTCTTGTGAGTGAAGGCATTTGTGTATATCTAGGTATATATAATTACATACATGTATTTCAGGTTGTATTCTCTATGTATAGCAGGTTAACAATTTGGATAATAAATACTGTATATTTGTGTGTGTTAGTTGGTACATTTCAAAGGCACATATTGATATGTACATGGCTGTATGTGTGTGTTGGTGTATACTCACTTATTTGTGGTTGCAGGAGTCGAGTCATAGCTCTTGGCCCCACTTTTTTTTGCTGGTTACTACTAGGTTCACTCTTTACCTCCTCCACCACCTTTACCAAACCTTTGATTAAAGCCTGGAGTATACCTGGAGAGGGTTTCAGGAGTCAATGCCCCTGCAGCCCAGTCTGTGACCATGCCTCATGGTGGATCAGGGCCTGATCAACCAGGCTGTTACTGTTGGCTGCATGCAACCCGAAGTACAAACCAGAGCCTGGCTGCATGGATCCTGGCTCCACTACATCTCACTCCAGAGTGTTCCACTTCCTTACAACTCTATGACTGAAGAAATACTTTCAAACATCCCTGTGACTTATCTGAGTTTTCATCTTCCAGCTGTGACCCCTAATTGCTGTATACCTGGAGAGAGTTCCGGGGGTCAACGCCCCTGCAGCCCAATCTGTGACCAGACCTCGTGGTGGATCAGGGCCTGATCAACCAGGCTGTTACTGCTGGCCACATGTAATCCAATGTATGAACCACAGACCGGCTGGTTGGGTCGGGTACTAATTTTAGGTGCCTGTCCAGTGCCTGCTTGAAGACAGCCAAGGGTCTATTGGTAATCCCCCTGATGTATGCTGGGAGGCAGTTGAACAGTCTTGGGCCCCTGACACTTATTGTGTTGTCTCTTATCAAGCTAGTGGCACCCCTGCTTTTCATTGGGGAGATGTTGCACTGTCTGCCGAGTCTTTTGCTTTTGTAGGGAGTGATTTTTGTCTGCAAGTTTGGTACTAGTCCCTCTAGGATTTTCCAGGTGTATATAATCATATATCTCTCCCTCCTGCATTCTAGGGAGTACAGGTTTTGGAACTTAAAGCATTCCCAGTAATTGAGGTGGTTTATTGCAGTTATGCTTGCCATGAAGCTGTGTCCCATTTCTGAAACATTTTGTCCCTATACACCTTGTCAATTCGTCTCATTACTTTATGTCATTATCATGTCCTCTTTATCCCTCCTGTCCTCCAGTGTTGTCAGGTCGATTTCCTTGAACCTCTCATCATAGGGCATGCCCCTTAGCTCAGGGACTAGTCTTGCTGCAAACCTTTGCACGTTCTCTAATTTCTTGACATGTTTGACCAGGTGTGGGTTCCATACTGGTGCTGCATACTCCAATATGGGCCTGACATACACAGTGTACAGTGTCTTGAATGACTCTTTACTTAGGTGTTGAAACACTATTCTTAGGTTTGCCAGGCACCCATATGCTGCAGCAGTTATTTGGTTGATGTGCTTCTAAGGAGATATGCTCGGTATGATGCTTACCTTAAGATCCCTTTCTTTGAGTGAGGGTTGCAGCCTTTGACCTCTAGGCTGTACTCTGTTTGTGGTCTTCTTTGTCTTTCCTCAAACTTCATGACTTTGCATTTGCTGGAGTTTAAACTCCAAAATACAGATTGTGGATGGGTGGGAAGTACAGTGCCTGCACTCTAAAGGAGGGGTTTGGGATATTTGCTGTTTGGAGGGATATCTGAACTGACAAGACAGTGATAGTGTGAATGATGTTTAAAGTGTTCCTTTTTTGGGTCACCCTGCCTTGGTGGGAAATGGCCAACATGTTTATACGTACAGTAGGGCCCCACTTATACGGCAGGTTAGGTCCCAGGCTGTCGCCAGAAAGCAGACATCGCCGGAAGGCAGAACGCCATTTTTTTCCATTTATAAATGTATATAAATGCCAGACAACAAGTTTACACTAAATTATATTAAGTTAGTAATAGAACCAGGCATTAAAAACACACAAAGTAAAATACATTCACAGTAAATTCATTACTTATCTTAAAGTATTTGTAATCTTAATGTAGGGAGAGAGGTGAGTAGTACTTATTTGTAGGAAGTCAGGTGCAGGTAGCCCAGGTGTAGGTAGCCCTGGCTCCCCGTCTCATACTTAATATACAATATTTAAAACATCCCAAAGAGGTAAAATACACATACAGTACACTCATTATTTACCTTAAAATATGTGTAGTCTTAATATAGGAAGAGAGGTGAGTAGTATTTATTTGTAGGAAGTCAGTGTAGGTAGCCGGTAGGTGTAGCCCGCCTGGGCTACACCTACCGGCTACCTACACTGTGGCCCAGAGCCATATTAACATTGACATGCCTTGTTCACTGAATTTAATCATTTCTAACAACTACGTTTAGATGCCATCATAAACGAAGGTAGAAGTAATGAATAATTTATGCCGAAAATTGTAAAC